ACTCCACTCTCACCCCAAACCTCGTAGCACCCTAGGAGAAGATAGAGGAAAGGAGGAAAAGGAGAAATGAGGTTTCTAGAGCTTGAGTTTTGGTTTGGAACTTTGATTCAAGGTAGAGATTTCTTCTCATTCTCCTACATTGAGGCTATGACTTATGTATATATGTACTCTTTTGACTCTAAATTCAATATGTATGTTATAAAATCTTTAATTCTTGCTATTCTTGCAATAAATGTCATGCTTTAAACAATGTGATAGTTAGGTAACCATTAAAACTCTCTTTTTCATCTTCAAACCTTAGATTTTAAGAAAAATGAATTTTTCTCTCCATATTTCCTTTGTTCTTGATTTTCAAACTTTAGGATTTCTATTAAACAATAAAATGGTATTGATGTTGATCTCTTGTCTATTGTTCTTACATGGTTCTATTGGATAACTTACAAGAATAATTGGGGATTTTGGGAATTATGAACTTTTATTGAGAAATTATTGGTGATTGTATCTCATGGAAGTGTTTGGATGACCATGGGTGGCCGTTGACTGGGTATCGTAGAGCAGGCAGATGTGTGTGATTCTTACTCCGTGCGGATTTGAACTTTTTTTACTACTCGTAGTGGGGTTGGTGCCTTGCGAGGACCAAACCACTATTAGCTCACGGGTGCCGTGTCAGAGGATTAGTATACTATGTCTGGATCGGATTCGTTATTGTCGGTGCATTGGTATGAGACAATGCATCGGTAGGCACCCTTCCCGAAGTTTGATATCCTTACGAGGATTTGTGTGTGTGTGGGTCAGAATATTCTTTATGTGTTTATTCATGCGATTATCTTACATCAGACTTGAGATACATTGTGGTTATTATTTATTGCGTTATCTTTTGGATATGATTATCTTGGAAATTGTTTTGGGAATGATTACTCTTTGGAATGATTATTTATGGTGGGATTGACTTTACTCCTGTATTTAATTATTGTTAATGTATAAACATGAGATCTTTTAAAAATATCATGTTTTCTTTCANTTGTGGGAATGATTACTCTTTAGAATGGTTATTTATGGTGGGATTGACTTTACTCTTGTACTTAATTATTGTTAATGTATAAACTTGAGATATTTTAAAAATATCATGTTTTCTTTCAAAATTTACGTATGCTATTTGTGAAATGAGACCGACCATTTTCTATGTTTTCCAAACCTTGTGAGAGTTTGGGAGAATTTTTCCTATAGAGCTTAGTGCTCACCCTCTACCAATAATATTTTTTTTTCAGACTTCGTGCTAGAGGAAGATCCCAGAGTTGATGAGCCGGGAAATTGGAAGGCTCCACCAGAGGGAAACCAAGATCCCGAGGTGGACGTCTAGAATTATGGTTTATTTTTGTGCTAGACTAGAGAATTTATTTACGATCATGTATAGTCTAGTATTTTATTTATTTCGTTGCTAAGTTTAAATGTAATTCTTTTGGAATGTAATTGTCATAGCTTGGTCTATTCTTTTGGGATGATATTGTGGATATTACATATAGTGAATGAAACTTTATTATTTGATGGATTTATTTAGTGCTCTTATGATGTGAATGATTTTAGATAGTAATGTCGTCCAAGGGGGATTTTGGGGCATTACAAATCGAACTCATATGGACTGTTTTAATGTTCACTTATAAATGGACCCGGTGTGGTCAAAGTAGTATAATTGCACAAGTTGTATTTTTGGTAGAGCTATTTGTACAAAAGAGACTCTGCCCAAAATTTGTTAAATTAAGGACCCCCCCTATTTTTGGGGTGTTACAACTAATGACTTCAAGATCAAATTCAGACGCTCGCAGCAGTACCTCCTCAATTGTCACACCCACTGAAAGGAAGGGGTGAACTTGACTCAAATTGAAGTTGCCCAAAACATAATCAGAAGATACATCTACAATATATATGGAAAAAGAATACATACTACAAAAACATACCCTCATTAGATCATATAAGCTCTTTTTATATATATTTGAGAATGTTAGCCATTAGAGACTTTTACAGTCCACCATCTAGTAACTCCCACCACATACAAGCATTTAGATGTCCAATTAAAGTAAAGTATAATTACTCATTTAAATCATATAAAAATCTAATTAAATCCTAAATTAAAAGTGATGCATTAAAACATATAAAATAAATTAAATGAGAAATTTTAAAGTTTTATTTTTCAACAATCCCCCATAAGTTTTAAAATTTTGAATATCAATGATAAGTATAATTTTATATACACAAGCATAAAATGAACATAGAAAAATTAGGGCAACTATAATACTGTGCAATGGGTGTAGGTGTCTTCCCAACTTGAACCTCATTTAGTGTTGACGGCCTCCTTTTGAAGGATCATAGTGACCAAATGCTTGAACTAGACCCTTGGAGCTAGAGTCCAATTGTCACACACAATATCGATATTGATCAAGATTTGTGGGTCAGTGTGATTAATGGTCATGCACTTGATCTTGATTCTCATGAGAGTTTCTTGATTCTCATGAAAGTTTCTACTGAATAACCAAATTCTCATAGTCGCAGCCTCATAACTTCTCTCACTTAAGTGAACTCTCCAAGGGTACATGTGCACAATACCCTGCAGGAGTGTTCCTACCTCAGTCTCATTCAGGATAAAATCCTTCCTTACTGTCACACTACATATGCACCTCTGCCATAGGGATGAACATGAAAATATCTCCTCTTAGGATATTTCCTCAAAAACTGTGCTAATGAGTCACACAGTATGAATTATTTCTACCCATTGAACTTCCTTCATGGGGTCCCCAATCACAGAAGTTGGGTTATCTCCCTAGGTGACTCCCTTGCGGGCTTAGGCCCATTACCCTCGACAGTTCATGAGACAGTTTTTCTCAAAAGTTTGGGGCCTATTTGGTTATCTTCTCAAAAATAGTTTTTTGTTCTCAAAATTTTAAAAACACCCAAAACTTGTTTATTTAGCATTTTTATTCTCAAATTTTTGGTAAAAAAATGATATTTAAGGCAAAGAAATAGAAAACAAGTGTAGCTTGTTTTTAGAGTTTTCTTTGAAAATTTTGAAAACACGAAGAACAGTTTTGAGGCTTTAATGAGGTCTTCCATTCAAGTCCCCTTAGCAGCAAAAGTCTTCATTCCTCCTTTTTCTTTTCCTTCCTTTCTCTCTCCAGCGTCTCCATCTCCTCTCTCTCTCTCTCTTTCTCTCTCTCTGCAACGAAGGTGAAGCACCGAAGCACAGATCTAAAGCAACATACTAAACGTATATAGCACAGATCAGCTGCTTTAGATTGTTGGGGTAAAATTCCATAATTTTACAAATATTAATTAACAACATAATTATAAAAACACAGTATAACAAGAATTCAGTCACATATATAATACAATAACATACAATTAGAATAGTACAAAATAGACAATAAAAAATTAGAAAGAGTTGGTTTACGAGTCCGAGAGTTGTTGAATACTATCCTAAAGCAGCTGAGCCTCCCCGCGTGAGAGTACTGACGGACACCAGTGACTCCAAGATCAAATTCAGACGCTCGCAACAGCACCTCCTCAATGGTCACGCCCATTGGAAAGAAGGGGTGAACCTAACTCGAATTGAAGTTGCCCAAAAACATAATCGGAAGATACATCTACTTTATATATGGAAAAACAATACATATTACAAAAACATAATCTCATTAGATCATATAAGCTCTTTTTATATATATTTGAGAATGCTAGCCATTAAAGGCTTTTAAAGTCCACCATCTTGTAACTCCCACTACATAAAGGCATTCAAATGTTCAATTAAAGTAAAATATCATTACTCATTTAAATCATATAAAAATCCAATTAAATCCTAAATTAAAAGTGATGCATTAAAACATATAAAATAAATTAAATGAGAAATTTTAAAGCTTTTAGTTTTTAGCATATACTTCATGCATAATATGATGATGCTCGTAGTTAGGATTTATGTAACAGTCGGGAGATTGGTTATAGACGGGTTAAGTTTTGTCATAGCCAATATTTTTGATTTAAAATATTACCGTTATTAGGATAGTGGAGCTCTACAAGTATTGGAAAAGCTTGAAGCAAGTCTAATCCTAGTAATTAGGTTTCCTTTACCTAGCAAACACGTAAAAGGGATTCTAACAATCACGTTATTTGCAATTCAAAAGTCAAAAGGCCTCCAAGATAAAGTCAACAACTTGCCTACATGGGACAAATAGTTAAAAGGGCGGACATTTCTCAATTCAAACGAGTCCCACCTTTTTATCAAGCCTATATGGGATTCAAAAGACTCTACCATGAAGAAGAGTCATTCCTGCCGCTTGAAGAGACAGACTCCAACCAAAAAGAGAGTCTTGCAAAGATAAGGGAGGAAAGACTCCTCAAAAGAGAGGAGACTTAACCTCCCATAACAAATGAAAGAGCCTAGAATCCACTCCTTATCGATTATTCATAAAAAGGATCTTGGAGGAAGACCAAAGGTACACAAGAACTTTCCTAGAAAATACCTTGAGATTCATTCTTGTAAACACTAACTTAAGCATCGGAGGGTCGACCCCTAGAACTCCCCCTCCAGACTTCCTTTTTAGGTATTCCAACTTGCAGAACCCTCTTTTGAAGTCCCAAAGAGCTTAATCTACACCCTGCTAACCTATTCAAATCGCTTAGAAGGGTGACAAAGATCAAGAAGACCAGCTCATCAGCTTGCACAGAGGTTGGGGCATATTTCTGCACCAACACCACCCAATGACATAACTAATCTACCTATAAAAGGAAGAACATAGGTTACCCAGGTAAGTCATTCCAACTCTAGTTTGATATTCTTTTTTTGCAATTTTTTTTGTACTTAGGCATTGAAGGGTCAACCCCTAGAGCCCCTCCGATCTTTGAATTGCTATTTCAAGTGCTTTCATCGATCATTCAGAGGATAATTTCCGTTAACCACGTACCTGGGCCTCGAAGGTCAATTTTTGGTGATAATGTTAGGGGTGGTGCTAGGAGCCATGGTGGGGCTTATTGGAAGATCTAGTTATGATGATGGTTGTGTTGGAGGCGGTGTTCGTGGAGATAGTGCCAATGGTGAGAGAAATGGTGAAGGAAGATTTGGTGGTATAGGTGAGTTGATGGTTGGGGCATGGTGGTGATGGTGAATCTGGTGATGTGGAACAATGGTGGTGGGTTGCCGAGTGATTAGATCTTTTGTTTTCAATGGATTTCGGCTTATTATCTAGTGGTTCATGAACAAGTATATATTAGCATCTTATATATGGTAATAACCAATTTTACATACGGAGGATTAGACTTCACATCATAATGACAACGAATTTTTATCATTATAAATCAAACTTTATAATTGACATATTTTTTAGTAATGCACAATCCATTTTTAGTTTTCTTTGTCACATACCAAACACAATTTGAGCTTATAAAGATTGTAAATGGCCATGGGCAAAATGACAAATGCTTCAAACTTCCAACTAGAACCCTTGTTAGAGCCAAGGATATTCAATATAGAACATATGGGGCTTGTTTGGTAGACGTATTATGAGTGAATTAAATATTAGATTGTACTATTATTTGCTTAATTAGTTCTAATACTTTGTGATAGGACATTTCTGGGAAAGGCTGGATCAAATGACACGTGTCCTCAACACCAATACTCCCTGTTCCTCGGCACCGAGGTACATCAATGCTCTTGGAAAATCAAATGCCCCTCGGCTTCGGCTTCAAGGGTACATCCACCCCGAGGCAGACTCGTGTCCTCGATTCCAGAGGTGTCTAATGGAGTTCTGGTCTGCCAAGTGTCTCGTGCTCTTGGAAAGGCTACTGATTGACAACTGACCAGCCTCCACTAGACTAGCCATCATGAAGGTAATCTGAACAATGGTATCAGAATGTTTGAGCAAATAGGACGTTCAGCCAAGGGGAGGCGGACGCATTTCACACAATGCAGAAATAGGAGTAAAAAGACAAAAGTACCCCTTCTGATATGCAGCTATCACAGGCAAATATTTAGTGGATTCTCAATTGATGAGACATCTACTATGGCTTAAGAAACCGAGAAGTAAAAGCATTAAATGCACAAAGATCCAAGAATTTAATACCTCTTTATTGGAAAAAGAGCATTAAGTGCTCGGCTGACCAAACAATTAATACTGGGACTTTCCCCATGCAAAATAGGAGGCACACTGCCCCATCTTTGAAGGTTACCTATTGCCTAGACTACTAGTAATGATGAGTCTTGGAAAGTATAAATAGTCCTCAAAAACATATTGCAAAGGTACTCAAAATTACCTCTCAAGAACCAGACAGTGTTTTCTTCTTCCTTTCTCGCAAAGAACTAACTTGACCGTTGGAGGGAATACACCAGAAAACACTCAAGTGCCCTTCTAACTTGTTTTTTGTGTGCCAGGAACGTTCTGTAACCCACCGGGATCGATCAGACAGCTCCTGAAACAATTAATCACCACTCCTTGGCCCTCTTTGACCCTCTTAACTCATTCCTTGCTGCGGAATCTGCCACATCAACAAATGAGTTCACCACGAGAGAGATCTATTCACATTTCATCTATTGTGCAAAAATTATCTCGCACAATCGGGCGCCGTCTGTGGGAAACGACTAGATTTTTCGAAGAACAATGACCATGGTGAATACTCGACAAAAGGGGAAGGGACCCCAACAAAGGAATCTTGATTTACCAGCTCCACCTTTTTCAAGAACGAAGAACCATGTCGAGAGTGACCACAAAGGGCTCTCCATTTCATTCAAGGGAGCAAACCCATCAGACTAGTATAGGTATCAGGCCTGGAGGGTCCGCCCCATTGGCCCGTCAACTGGCGGAAGTGATTGAAGAAAAGTTTGGGGATTGGTTATGGCAATTAGAAAAGGACAATGTAAATGTCCTCAGCTGCCTCAATGAATTTGCAGGCTCTAGTGGAAGGTCTCGAAACTCGCTGCGGTCTCGAGAACCTTCCATCAAGGAGGTGGAACCTGAGGATCTGAGAAATCACTTGAACAGCAGAACGAGAAGCTCTAGGGCTCCAAAGCGCCCGAGGGCCAAAGGACAGCTCCTAGAGGTTTCAGCCAAAGCAGGCTAGGCCGTTGGCTTGGGACAACCTCCATCGGGGACTGTTAGGGCAAAGGGGCGTGGAGGAGTCCAAGAAGGGGTCAACCCTCTCCGTCTGGCACCTAGGGACTAGGGACCATGCTGTCTGGCACCAAGCACATAGAGACATGCCCCTTAAACACGGGGATGACCTCAGGGCCCGGCTGGATTCCAAAAGAAGGGATAAAGCACCGCAGGAGGATGATACCGACGACGAATCCATCCAATCACCTTTCACAAGAAATATTATGGAGATGAAGGTACCAAAGAAATTTGCAGTACCAAGATTCAAAACTTATGACAGACGATTTGACCCTGAAGCCCATCTCAGACAGTACAAGCAGATGATATCTCTGTACCACTCAGACTACCAGTTGTTATGCCGAGTATTCTTTATGAGCCTTGGGGACTCTGCCATGAAATGGTTTAAGACTCTTCCTCCCAACAATATAGGGTCATGGAAGGAGCTGACCAGGTAGTTCTCTGCCTGGTTCATTACAGGGAGTAGGCGACCCAAATACGTGGGTCCCTTCTAACACTAAGGCGAAAAGGAAGGGGAAACCTCCTCCAGTACACCACTCGCTACTGGGAAGAGGTAAATGAGGCAGTTGAGCCCTTTCATCTTCAAACGAGGTGTGTCCCTTCCGTGCAAAGATCAAAGGGCTAGGGCAGTTGATTGGACATTTTTAGGAAAGGCTGGATCAAACGACTTGTGTCCTCTACACCAATATTCCCCTGTTCCTTGGCACTGAGGTATATCGATGCTTTTGGCAAATCAGATGCCCCTTGGCTTCGACTTCAAGGGTACCTCCACCTTGAGGCAGACTCGTGTCCTCAGTTTCAGAGGTGCCTAATGGATCTCTAGTCTAGCATGTGCCTCATGCTCTTGGAAAGGCTACTAATTGACAACTGACCAGCCTCCACTAGACTAGCCATCATGAAGGTACTCTGTACAATGGTGTCAGAATGTCTGAGCAAACAGGACGTTCAGCCAAGGGGAGGCGGACGCATTTCACACAATGCAGAAATAGGGGTAAAAAGACAAAAGTACCCCTGCTGATATGCGGTTATCACAGGCAAATATTTAGTAGATTCTTAGTTGATGAGATATCTACTATGGCTTAAGAAGCCGAGAAGTAAAAACATTAAATGCTTAGAGATCCAAGCATTTAACACCTCTACATTGTAAAAAGAGCATTAAGTGCTCGGCTGGCCGAGCAATTAATACTAGGACTTTCCCCATGTAAAATAGGAGGCACACTGCCCCATCTCTGAAGGCTACCTATTGCCTAGACTACTAGTAATGATAAGTCTTGGAAAATATAAATAATCCTTAAAAACACATTGCAAAGGTGCGCAAAATTACCTCTCAAGAACCATACAATATTTTTTTTTTCTTCTCTCAAAGAACTGATTTGACCGTCAGAGGGGATACACTGAAAAAGCTCCGACGCCCTTCTAACTTGTTTTCTGTGTACTAGGAACGTCCTGCAATCCACCGGGATCGATCGGACAGCCCCTGAAATAATTCATCACCACTCCTTAGGCCCCCTTTGGCCCTCTCAACTCGTTCCTTGTTGCAGAAACTGTCACATCGACGAATGAGTTCACTATGAGAGATATATGTTCACATTTCATCTATTGTGCAAAAATTATCTCGCACACTTTGTTTGGTATATAAATTTGATTTCATATTTATTCAAAAAACGTATATTTATCGTATATTTTTTGTACGATAGAATTTTATTATGAAAGTATTTTAATATCACCAAGAGACTTATATATTGTCAAGCACTAGATAAAATAATGTATTATTTTAACACCCCATTTAATCTTGTCTTTTGTCCAATTAGATTAGATTCATTTATTCAATTCACCCATTTTTAATACGGAAATCAAACGGGCCCATATTTAACAAGTTAAAGATGGAGAAAAAAATGAAAACCTCAAAATAAATGCAAACTCTATTTTTTTTCCAATACAAAACCAATCATTTCCAACCAAAAGGAAAGAGGAATCATATCATGAAATGGGATANGATGGAGAAAAAAATGAAAACCTCAAAATAAATGCAAACTCTATTTTTTTTCCAATACAAAACCAATCATTTCCAACCAAAAGGAAAGAGGAATCATATCATGAAATGGGATACGGCTATGCTACCACCGTAAAAATGTGGTACCCAAAAAGACCCTTTTTTGGTACCGCATTTTGTTACAATAGANACTTTTAATACATTAATAGTACAGTGTAAAAATTTTAAATTTTGATGATACAAAATAAATTTTCTTAATTTTTTTAGGTTGTAAAATATAATTCACCCAAAAAATTAAACTCAATAGTCGAGCTCAGCTAGAACTTTTTCAATTGAAATCGAGCAATATCTAAGCAGACTCAAATTAGAGAGATTCGACTCGACCAATCCACTCTCCAATTGGGACCAAGTTGCATAGTAGCCACCCAATTTCTGGTAGAACCCTTTTAACTTGGAGCAAACGATACAAGCATATTGGCAAGAAGCCAACATGGGCGATTTCTAAGGTGTGGTTTAATGATCGATTCATTTGGCTAGACAGATAAGAAAAATAATGAATGGCAAAGACTTTTTCTTTTCGTTTTGTTTTTTACCTTTTGGTTTGTTTTTCATATCCTTGTTTGAATAGCTTCCACGGGTAAATTTATAGCCAAAAAAAAAAATTCTTGTTTTTGCAATTAATTCTATATAACTTCACTAAAGGGCATACACAGTGCACGTGATTCTTGTCATTGTAGAGTCAAAGTAAAATTAGATTCACACAGCCTTACTCTTGTAAGCAGAGAGACTATTTATGTGACTCGAATTCGTGATCTCCAAGTCACAATGAAACAATCTTACCATTATGCCAAAACCCACTCTCTTCTATATAACTTCACTAATTTAACAAATTCTTTATTTATGTTTCTTTGAAGATGGTTTAAGTTCTTTATTGTCTAAAAATTACCTTCCTTACAATTTTTTTTTCTATTCTTATTCTATGTTGTTTTTAAGTACTTGTGTGTGCTTAATTTGACAATATTATTTTCATAGTTATCAAATCGTGTATCGAAAGACGTATAGTTTTTTANAACATCCTCCCAATTCGGGGAAAATAATTACTAATAAACATAGTTATCAAATTGTGTATTGAAAGGCGTATCATTTTTTAAAAATAGTGTATTGTATAAGATACGACGTAATTTTACATAATTAATTGTAAAATATATATGCTTTTGAAAAAAAATCATAGGCTCATAAAAACATAACATTTCATTAATATTCCACTAACTATTCAAGTCACCAATATAATTTACTAATATTAAAAAAATAATAAAGGGTATCAAATTAAATTAATGATACTTATATATACTTAAAAATAAAAAATTATAATGTAAGGGGTATTAAATATAATTTTTCATTCTTATAACCACAGTCGTTAGTCTATCTAGTACCCACGACTCACGAACGAACACAGAAAGCCAGAGAGAAGAGCAAAAGGCGATCGGCGATCGCAATGCCGATGCCGGTGGAGAGAGAGAGCGAGAGAGAGAGAAAGAGG